CTTGCTTGGCCCCCTTCATTTTGACCACAGTTAGGCTTGGCGCGGAGCCAGAGGCCAAGGAGGGTCCCCCTTTCATTTTGACCACAGTTAGGCTTGGCCCGGAGCCAGAGGCCAAGGAGGGTCCCCCTTTCATTTTGACCACAGTTAGGCTTGGCCCGGAGCCAGAGGCCACGGAGGGTCCCCCGTTGAAGAAAAAACATTTCGACCACAGTTAGGCTTGGCCGGGAGCCAGAGGCAGGGGCCCCCTTTTCATTTCACAGCCTTGGAGCCTTGGAGCCTGCATCTTGACTCTCTTTCGCTGAAAGAGGGTCTCATTCTAGTCAGGTTCTTCACTCAGCATGCCTGGTCGTACCGAGCTGTCTGCAGCGAGGCAGATTCAAGGCCAGAAGCAGTAGAACACAAACGTACATGAGGGCAGGGTGCTTTGAAACTAAACCTTGTGGCCTTGACGACGATGGGTCGATGTCGATGCGGTCCCTCGCAGCATCGAATCATCCTGGCGACAGCCAAGATCCGCTGTCAAATTAATTAAACTTGACTGTCCAACGCAGCACGGGTCCTGACAGCTTCCTTGGCGCTGCGGCCGTGGACCACGCTTGCCCATCTCCCTGCCTGCAAAGAACGACATGTGAACCAGGTTACATGTGGAATTTGGGTGCGTTCACATGACTCACGACACTGGCCTCTGCTTTTTCGGACACCCCCCGCGCTGAGAATTAAAATAATTGAATTAGGGATCCCAGCCAGTCTTGCGCCAGACCTTGGAGCCTGGGAACCTGGTAGCCGCGACACGCCCTGCAAACAGCTTGTCACGACGCACTTCACCACTTCGGCAAGATGCAACGCACGGCACTGTGCGGAATCGGTTACAACGAGGAAACTCACTGCATCTCACATTGCATGCAATCTTGCCCCCATGCTCGGATATGCTGCTAACTGAACACACGAAGGCTATGAAAGTCACACCCTACTAACTAACCCTGAAACCCTTTAACCGACTCTAAACACACGTTAAACCATACGAGCCATCATCAAATAAAAATGGAGGCTCAGTCGAGTCATTTCTGATTCAGACAGAGCTCCGGCCACCGCCGCTTTCCGGGGTCTGGAGCACAGCCGACCAACACAAACAGCCCCCATTTACCGGCTCGAAGCACCTTTGTGCAGCACGTGTGACTTGCAGCGGGGCAATTGGCTAAGTCGCTGCGTGTTTTCCACAGCTCGGGCCACTGCTTGCACCACGCTCTCAGTCCGGCCTCCCCCTTGGGCATGAAGGGATTCCCGGTCTCCACCTCAAACACCACGCAAGCATAGGCCCACATATCCACAGCTGCAGTCAGCAGCTGCTTTCTGACACCGCAGTCTCCATCGCCATTCACACGAGCGGGCCACAGCTCCGGAGGTCGATAGGCAGCCGTGACATACTGCAGGAACCTGGGAGCCTGAGAAGCCTTCTGGAGCCGTGCCATGTTCTCACTCATGCCGAAGTCGCACACCTGCACCTGATCTGTGCAAGGGCACCAAAGAACATTGCCAGGTTTCACATCCAAGTGTAGGATGCCTGCGTCATGCAAGGTCTGCAGTGCACTTCTCAGCTGAGCTGCCACAGACCACGTCCTCGGCTTGCCATGCGCCGCAGGATTTCGAAGTGCGGTTGCCAGGCTGGGCCCACATAGGCTAGTAGCCATCCATGGCCAAGGTCTGCCCGTGACACCCGAGCTGACAAGAAGCGGGAACCACATCATCTTCTGCTGCGGAACGGCCTTCATTAGAAGCTTCATCTGCTCCACTTCGTGCCTGCAATCCGCGGGGCCATCGGAGCCACGATAAACCTTCACCGCCACGTTAAGGCCGCTTTGCGGATGCTGGCAACTGTAGACACTGCCATAGGCTCCGCCTCCAATTGGAGCCCTTGCACCATTAAGCTCAAATGGGCCAACGCGACCGCCAGATTCGTCAGCGGCAGGGGGGTCCTTCGCCTCGTCGGGGCCGCCCGCACTGGTCGTGGAGCCCCGCATCCTGATGCCAAGAACGGCCAGTGCACTTCGCTGAGCCATGAACTCATCTTTGCTCCTCGCCATGAATGGTGCCTTCTGCTTGTCGGTCATGCCCTGCCAGACTGCGCCAAGATGCTTCATCTCATTGAGAAACTCGTGCTTGGGAGCGCCTTTCTTGACTTCGGAGTTTTCCTGGAACCAGATGACGAAGGCCCTTCGAGCCTTGGGGACCAAGCCGTCTTTCACAGCCTGCTTCCGCAAGCTCTGCGATTTGCTGCCACCATGCTGGCACCCCCGGGGCATCCGACGAGAAGCCGTCTTGAGACTGGTTTTGCCCCAGAGGCGTCTGGTAGGCCTCCATCGGCAGCCCATGTCGAACCCAAGCAGGGAACCTCAGAGCCTGGGAACCTGGGGCCATAACGGCTCGCTTTAATGCATTCAGGCGACTACAACAACATCCTCGGCGAGTCCTATTTCAATGTCATGCCACAATAAGAGCATTTCGGCTTTTTCAGGCGACAGTAGTCACTGCTACACACTACTGACAAAACTGAGCCCGGCAAAAGGTCAAGAGCCTGAGAACCTGTGAGCCTAGGTGCCTGAGCTGGTGCCTGAGCTGGCGGATTCGGTCGAAGTGAAACATCATCACTGCGGTTGATCGCGGGGGCTATCTGGCTCAGCAGGTGCCTCGTCCTGGTCGTCTTGGTTGGACAAGCTCTCCAGAACGTGCGGGAAATGCTTCTTCACCGCCTTGGCATTCTCGTCCGAGTAAAGAGTGGATCCCTCCAAAGCCATCATTCCGCAAGCTGCGCGATCAGCAACCGCCTGGACCCACGACATGTGCTCCTTGTTGAGGCCTCGGATAATTTAAATAAAATCAAATGACAATGATCTGACGAATCTACTGGACAAGTAAGGGTGCTGCAAAGCCCGTGGTATGCGATGCCGGCAGTCAAAGAAGCCTCCATCAGAGCACCGGTGCCAGCCGTGAGGTCAAACACTGCCTCCGCGCAAAACTCCTCAATGATGGCATTCCAATATGCTATCGGCTTCGACTCGTTCCAGAACAAGGGTACGTCGGAGCCGTGGCGATCCTGCCAGTCCTCTGGCGGTGTCGGGAGGTCGCCGGTTGTTGCCGGAGCAATGATCTTCTTCTTGGTGTCTGCAGACACGAGGGGCATTTCAGAAACCGCACGGTACTCCACGCCTGAGTAAGTGCCTTGGTACGTAGAAGCCTCGCCGCAGACTGTGAAGGAGCCTTTCTTCGTCGTCTGAATCTTGGTGCGTGCGACCGGGAGACTGTGAAGGAGCCTTTCTTCGTCGTCTGAATCTTGGTGCGTGCGACCGGGAACTTAACCGCTCCTGTCTCCACCTTCTTTGCAGCCAGCGGAACGCGGCGAGTGCGACCAGTTCTCGGCGGGCACCCACCTGAGTACACGATGGTGCACTCCTCGGTGTGCTGCTGGTTCAGCAGGAGGTCTTCCTTAAAGAACCAGGTGCAGCCTTTGAGCCTTGGAGCCTGGGAGCCTTGTCACATCACCCCGCCAAGACTCGGACACGCGGCGAATTTCCCGCATTCTGCCGTCGAAGAGTACAACGAAATCCTCGGGCCCAGAAATGTCTTTGGCAAAGGCACAGATCTCTTTCCATTCCTCGCTTGGCGGAGTGCCCTTGAGCCACGGGTCGGTACCAGCCTCTGCCAAGAGATCCGCACTGGCAACGATCAGGCGGTGCGAAGAGTTTAAGGTGCCCTTGTGCGTGAAGACCTTGCCGCAACCTCTGAACGCATTGACTAGGCAGTCCTTCGAGATCTTGTTCGGTACCGAGAACGACACGAACTTGCGGCGTTCCGTTTGCACCGCCTTCCACTGCCGCTCACGCTCGACACATTCCTCGGGTGTGTCAGCTTCAGAAGCCTTGGCCAGGCTTTGGAGCAAACTCGGAGCAGGAGCCGCAGATGTGGCACCAACGGACTTCGTGCTGTTGTCGAACTTGTCGACAATGATCTTCATCTGAGTGATAAGCGCACATGGCTCCTCGTGCTCCGTGTCATCCGAGCTTCCAAGCTGTGCAGCTGTCAATGCCTTTGCAAGGCCATCTTCACTCGAAGCCAGCATGCAGCAATCCTTGTAGTACTTCCCCGACATCAGCTCCAGCAGCAAATCCAAAAGCATGCCAATGGCTTTGTTGAAACCCTCTTTAACAGCTCCAATCTTGGACTGCGGAACAGGGCGCTCCACGTCCTCTGGGTCCTCGCCGTCCATGTCGTCCTCTCCAGCAGCCCCTTGATCAGCATCAGCATGGCAGAGATATTTCTCCCAACATGTGGAAGGGCAACGGAGTTCAGCCAAAATCCCTGTCAGCTTAACCTTGTCCGGCTCAGGCAACTTGTTCGCCAGCTTTGCTGCATAATCGAAGACCTCTGTCAGTGTTCAAGCTGCCGATGACTTGCAACACTCCGCAAAAAAAATACACACGCTAGTCAGAATAGTTACAATGCCTGCACCACCAGCATGCGCGACAACCAAAAGCCAGCATCGCCTGTCTTCCGGTCTCGATCCAGAAACTTCTCGGTGCATTTAGCTGGCGTGACCATGTTCATGCGCAGGGCCAGCGTCAAGGAGTCGATCATCCAGGCCGTCAGGTCTACAGCGTTTCTGGTAGCAGATGCGAGCTTGTTGGTCAGCGATAACAGCTTGCTCAACTTCGAGTACTGACTGCTCAAGATGCCCCGCCCAAATTCCAGCTCCAATCTCCGGGCAGCCTTCTCCACGGGACCGGATGGACCCCGCAGCACTGCAACAGCTGCTGTGGCAGCCTGGTGTAAGGCCTTGTTGTACAAGGTGTTGTTGTACCTCAAGTTCTGTTCCTCACCATCCTGGACTTTTTCGACCTTGAGCAGCTGGACAGTCTTTGCAAATGTCCAAAAGGTGTCGGACAGGCCAGGGTGCCCGAGTGCCTTGACTTTCTCTGAAGCAAGATTGCGACTCTTCGCAATCTCCCCTGCGCTGGAACACAAGCGAACCTGTATCGTGACAGTGCAGCCACACTCCCACAAAATCTCCAAAACTGCTTTGTCCTGCCAAGTGCAAGCACACATCAGTCAGATGAATCAATAACATGTCATGTCATGTGAACACAAGCAGCAACTGTCCTGGGAGACTAGGGCTTTGAAGACGGCCAAGTACCAAGCCCACAACACAAACACGCCGCTAGCAAGATGCAACGAGCTGTTGAACTCTTCGTGAATCACGTCAGATGCTGACTCCGTGAGGACAATCATCTCACAAGGCCACGTCAGCCGGTTTCGTGACGTTTTTTGTTTCTTCTTGGCAGCTTCACGCGATACAACTGTGCTGAAAGCAACTTTCTTGGAGAAGAAAGCGTCTTCGAAAGTTTGGAGATCCTGCCAGCACACATCCTCAGACGCACTGGCAAAAGCTTCGGTGGCCAGCCACAGCGCGAGGCCACTGGCTTCGTAAAGTCCAGATGATGTCAGGGACGCTTGGCAGTCATCTTTGCTCCACACAGCCTGACAAACGACAACGGTCAAACAATAATAAATGACATTGATCGACATGCGCCCGCCTTGTATCCGGTCAAATCCCCCATCTTGGCTTCTGCGTTGATGGCAAGCGGCGGTGTCTTGAACATCTGCTTGGCCTGCGGAAACTTCAGAGGGAGCTGGCTGCGGACCTCGGGCAGGCACGGCATGCAGCACTGTTAGCCGCGAGACGGGACACGGTATCAAGAACTCAGCGAAGGGCCCATGGCACGATGTTTGCCAGGGCTTCTTGAGCACTGGCCTGCTTCACATGGCGTGCCACACATCATCATCACACACGTCATACTGCTCCGAAAATGCTGAGCTCAGAACGGTTGGGTCGGTGGGCAAATCCGGCACTTTTGCCATTGAGCGCGAGTACAGAAGCCTGGGAACCTGGGAGCCGAGTAGCCTTCCACGGAACCGTTTGGAGTCTTGCGGTGCAGCGCAAGGCAATAAGACTGCTGCAGTGCAGGACATGCTGCAAACAAACACAAACTGACGTCGACAGCGGTCCTTTGTAGTCGTGGGCCCTGCCACAGTTTGTCGACGAGCGGCTTGAGCTTTACATGTCCATTTAAATCAAGTTGGCAGCAAAGTAAGGAAGCATCAAAATCCTACTATGCTGCTGATGAGTCATCTAAACATGACGACACCAAGCCGGCGCCACATGGACCTTGGAGCCTGGGAGCCTAGGAGCCTGGGAGACGCCTCAGCTGGGCATCAACGGCAGCGAGGGCATCCTGGTCGCGGCGGAGCTGCTTGTTGGAGACGTCCACCTGTTCCTTCAAGCGCCGTTTGTGCTCCACCAGCTTGGAGCGCTGAGCCTCAAGGAGAATGTCTGAGTGCTTCCTGGGGTTGCTCATGCTCACGATGACCATCTCGATCCCGGACCTGCGTACCTTCAAGTTGCCGGTGCGGATCCGCTCTGCCAGGTCATTGCCCTTGAGCATCCAGAAGTACCCCATCGGATGGAGAACCGGCGGTGACTGGTTGATGACGCCCTCGCAGCTGAACTCGAGCATGTCCATGTCGAGCTGCTTGAGGGCAAAAAAACCCAACGTGGCCGCTGCGTGCGTGGACGAAGAAACCGGGAACAGGGATGCACCGGGATCCGGAAGGAACGGATCCCCCTGCGCAGCGAACACGTGGTTCCGGGCCAAGAAGTTCACGAGGGCAGATGTGTCCTCCTTGCTAATGTCGAAGCCGCCGCCGCCGCCTTCCTCCGACTTGACCGCCGTGTAGCACATGAAGCCCAAACCCCCGCCAAGGTCGGGCCCGGGTGCAAGGGTCTGCCAGGCGCGGCTGGTCGTGGCCTGCACCATGACGTGCCTTGATCGGACGCAATACCCTGGACCCCTAAACCCCTAAACCCCTGAACCCTTGAACCCTGAACCTCTGAACCCCTGAGCCTATAATTAATATAAAATTAAATAACAATAAATGAAAAGACTTCCTGGCGTCCGATGTACTCGAATTCAAGGCTCCAGTTCGCCTCGTCGTGGAAAGGCAGCTCCTGGCAAGGATCCGAGAACAGCGGAACATAGTAGCCGCCATCCTCCACCACAATGTCTCTTGCAGAGCACGCTTCGGCCAGATTTTTCTTGGTGAACAGTGTGAGAACCACGAACTGGGTCTCCCCAATGGCTTCTGTCAGCTGGCGGCGCGATGAGCGCAGCTTCGCCTTCACAGGCTTGTCTGCAGCAGACGGGGCCGCCCCCAACTTGCGCATGGCTTCCTTGCGCTGCCATGTGATGGCGTCCAGTTTCGTCGCCAGAAACAAGGCACGGAAGCCGATCTCCGGTGACTCGTAATAGGAATCCTTCTCAAACTCGGAAGCCGCCTCCACACTCTTCTCGTAGTCACTTGCCCTCAGCGCACAGTAGCCGAGACGCGACCAAGATCTCTGAGACTGAGTCTCTATCACTGGGTTCTCCTCCGGCTCGGCGATGATGGTGGGTGCCATATCTGCGGCGGCTGCTTGAGGATCGGCTGCGGCCATTTTCGCAGGCGGCATTGGGACCTAGTAGCCTATGTGAGCCAGGGAGCCTTGGAGCCTGTTGCCGCAGAAGCCTCGTATCAGATGCTGATAGTGACATGGCAAGACTGACACAACACACTGTCGCATGCAACTGTCATGTTCTGACAACTCAGCCACACAGCCAACCATGACTGAAATGAAACGACTTTGGGCCTGCCCCTCGACGTCCAGCTTGTCGACGACAACAGCCTCAGACAATGCAGTGACAAGTGACATGTGCATTGAAGGGTCATTTGCGTGCGTTGAAGGGTCATTCGTGTGCATTGAAGGGTGACAGGTGCTTCTTTCATCATTAAGGCACTGCTAACGTCACCCTTGGATGCACTCAAAACACCCTTGGATGCATGGAACAAGAGCTGCCGGGACCCTTGGATGCATCCAAAACACCCTTGGATGTAGCGCCGCGGCGATTGGCGCGAATACTGCCTGTATTGAAATGAAAGAGGAAGGCTATTGCAAGGGACAAATGGAACGTCAATACACCAGGGATTGGCACCAATCCATGGCGTATTGCATCCTACCATTGTCCTGCAATTAAACAACTGCAGGGGAAGTGAATTGCAAGGCCGTTTTGTCCTGCCAATACGCCCCGGATTGGCACCAATCTGCAGTGTATTGAGCAGGGGCTTGCAACAGGCGCTGTTGCAGGCACCTGCTGCCCCAGACAAGGTTAACCCTGCCTTGCGACACAGGCCCCCTGTACATTCCTGTGCGAACGACTAGACTTAAAATGATTCGACCCCAGGAAAATTCCTGCCTGCGAACCTGGTAGCCAAGGAGCCAAGGAGCCAAAGAGCACTGTCATTAACTGCTGCAGTACAGGACTATGACGCACGAACTTTCTTGGGTTTCTTGGGGGGCAAATGCCTCATCTGTACACCAGCACCGGACAATGTCCGCTTCTGGGACAACCCGCGGACGGTGCGGAGGAAATTCCAGATATCGGCCTCTCCATTGATCTTGTAGGGGGTGCGCCTCTTGGTAGCAAATTGAGTGGGCAGTGGTGTGCCGATAGCAACACGCCACTTCGACTGGGGCAACTTCTCACAGAATCGCAGGGCCTCGACGATGGCACGGGTCCTGACTGATTGAACTTAAATGAACCCAAACCCAACCCTAGACAATAAACCCTTCAACCCGAAACCCTTGAACCTCAGTGTCTGTGCCACCGAGCAACAGTTGACAGCTCTTGGCGATCTCAAGGCCGACCAGCCTCGAAGTTGCAGCTGTGTTGAAGGACAAGAACGACTTCTCAGCATCAATTGTCGGATTGTCCAAGTATGCCAGAATCGCCTCCCTGGAGGCAAGCACTTTGCCACAGCCGTACGAAATGATCAAGGCAGGAACCTGGGATGAAACACGTCAACGTGTACCAGCAGTGACGATCTAAGCCTGGCATCATCCGACTTTTAAACATTTTAATTAGAAGCTTGGGACCAGTCGGTCGCTGCGGACCGTCTCCACATCGGACAGTTGTTCGAGGACCAGGATATCGGCGGATTCATGCTCGTACGGTCCAAGAATCTGGAAATGCTTGTTGCCTTGCAGCGACTTGCTGTCCGTGTAGCGACGATAGACCGGACATAGCTTCAGAGCTCGTTTGCGGAGGATGCGTTGCAAGACGGATGACCGATCCTTCTCGTGGCCGTGCTGCACCATGCGCAAACCGCCAAGCCGTGCCGCCGTTGTTGTGTAAGCAATCTTGCCAGAGGATCGTCTCCGCGCTTCCTCTTGGTGACCTTGGCTGGATGACAATGACAATGTGTATGACACTTCAAATGACTTAGCACGGAAAGCAACCGTTGTGCTGCTGAGTCACCGTCATATTTCTGCTGTGTGCGTGCACGGAAATTCTCCAAATGCTTGAGGGCATCTGGTGTGGGGCGGGCGAAAGCCCAACGTGTGCCAGCAACGCTGTTCTGGGCAGAGGCAGACGCTGCCGGCAAAGGCAGGCTCAAGCCCGGCACGAAAGAGGACGGCTTCCACGACCTGCCTTTCGAAGCAGCTGCCTCTGCTCTCTTCGCTGCCTCGGCGGCGGCTGCTTCACGGCCTCTGACAATTGCAGCCAGAGTTCCAGAACGTGCCTGGCGTGGCTTGCTGGGCCCCTGCTTTCGTTCTTTGTTGTAGGTCATGCGGAACCGACGCCCAACGTGACGAATCCACAGTTCACCACAAAGAACCCCGAAGTCAGTTGGGGTCAGCACGGCACCTTCGCTCTCCGGCTTCCGGAAAAATTCTTCCTCTCGCTGGGGACATTCAACTGCCACCTCGAGGATGGAGGCAATGGTTGAGCCATTTGGAGTGAGGGGTCCGGAATGCGCCTCCAGCTGTGTGAGCAAGTGTCCCAAATCCCTTTCCAGCGTGGTCGTGTTGATCTTCAAGGACAAGAAGACAGCAATGAGGGCATGACAATCCTCT